CTTCTGTTGGTGACTTGGGGCAGGTGGAAGGGTGCACATGTTGGCTGTACTGTGTTTGCTGGGCAGGAGGAAAATGTGTTAGATTCTCACCAAGCTCAACAGATAATATACCCTTGAGTTCTGATAACTGCTTTGTTTTGAAACGTTGTGAGTGATAATAGCACTAAGAAAATTACTTTACATTTTTGAAATTCTGTATTGCAAATAAAATTTGAGCTATTGATGAATGCCTCATAGGCACAACTCAGTAAATGAAAAGCTTGTTTGCATTTCAGACAAAGCAAATTATTTCATTTATGCTGGAAAGCTTTCTAAATGGACTTGAGGCTCCAAAATTATTAGCTACAATTGTCTCCAATCTCAAAAAGCTGTTCATTTAGTGACAAATTCCGAAAATCGGGCAGAATGAAGTATATGACTGTGAGTAGTCAAAAACTAATGATCTAACCCAGTTAGATTACAGTTGTGGCTAATAATGCAGATGAAGCTCTGAAGTACTCATTTTCTGGTCATCTCTAAGGAATCTTTCAGAAATGTATTTTTTCTAATCATCCTGCTTCCCATTGTCTTACAAGTGTTCAGAAGAATGACGTCAAGTGTTATTCATATTCTCACTTTGTATGAATGGAGTTTCTAACTGATCTTGGTGCACAAATTCTGCAGGGCAGACTGGGATTGAAATGGTTTTTCCCTTCGCCAGAAATGTTGGTTATGCTTGAGTTACAAGGAACACAACACTAGTACTGTTTGAAAAATGAATATTTTTCTCTAGGACCTTTCATTTTTTTCATTGTCTTAAACTTTGGGGCTGTGGCGAGCCCAGCTATACACAGAAACAATTCAAATGCTGAGCTGCTGGGCAGGTGGCATGGCTTCATTGGGCTGCTGGGATCATTTCTTCAGCAGACACAGCAGGAGCCTGCTCTGTTATTACAGCAAGCCAATAACACCTCTGGAGGTGAAAAATAACATGGAAATGGTGCTACTTTTTAAATAAAAAGGAATATGGAGGCCTGGTTGTGAAAATGAAATTAAGTATGGAGGCAGTAACAAGGTTTTGTTGTAGAAAATAAATTGGACATCATTATAATTTTTCAGCAAGGTTGGATGAACACTAGAGAAAACATTAAAAATAAATAAATCTACTGCCTGTGTTAGCCAGGGTTTTTTTACAGGAGCTGCCTAAAAGATAAAAAAAAGGCAAGTTCAGCTCTTAAAAAGGAGGAAGCCACACTGGAAATAGGGAGCGCTTTAATTTGTGATCAATCTTTGCATTTATTTCGGTGGTACTTTTGTGTCTTCCAACACATAAGGGTACTTTCTGAAAGTTTTTTAAAGTGCCATCTTCTGGTGGTACTTTTAGAGGAAAGTTCCAAATTGCTGGGATTTTTTTCTCTTTAGAGATCATGCCAGATATGAGAATAAATCCTGACTCTGACTTCTTAGAAGGACTTTCTTAGAAATCTTGAGCTTAGAGGGAGAAGAAATAGACTAAACAGAAAGGCTGTACCTGGTGACCAAAAGGAGCTGTGAAAAAATAAAAAGAATGGAGGCTGTGAAAGACAAATCTGTGGAAAAGCTGTGGCAGCTGCTGGTGTTCCCTGTGCAGTCTCCATGCCAATCTCCCGTGCTTTGGGGCAGGTTTCAGCAGGGAGCAACAGTGAGCATAAAGACAGGGAGTGTGGCAAGCACATTTCTCTCCCTCTCAGAATTTTTCATAGAGGTGCACAGAGAGAAATGAAAGGGAAAACAATTTCTATTTCTGCTCCTTGTTTTTCTCATGTGGAATGTGTTTGGAGAATTGTTTACCTGGAGTGAGTGCTTGGTTGGATTCTGGTGAGGATTGTTTGAGCCTGATGGCCAATCCAACCCACCTGGGGCTGGGCTCTCAGAGAGGGTCATGAGTTGTGTTAGAGAAAGTATTATGTAGTTTTAGTATCCTCCTTTTATATAGCATATTAATGTATTTTATCATAGTTATAATAAAGAAATCATTCAGCCTTCTGAATTGAGTCAGACATTGTAATTTTTTCCCGTTGGGTTCGCCTGCAATTACAATAAGGGAGAAAAATGGAGCTGAATCGTTCTTTGGTCCTGGAGCAGAGCTCCCTGAAAATGGGTTGCAGAGCTCCCTGAAGTCACACTCAGTAGTCAGGAAACACAACCTTGTCCTTTGTGGTGAGTCTCCCAAAGCATTTGGCCAAGAACTGCAACCAGGAAAGGGCTAACAAAGCAGCATAAAGCAGGGCAGAGGAACAAGTCTCACTCTGTCTCTCCCAGCAACCCATGCTTGTTTCCAACTTGTTTTTCACACTGACAGCAGCTCCTGCTGATTTAGTAACTCTGCAGGACAGCCATGCCTTGGACCTGCCTATCTATCATTAAATTCCTCCAACTGGTACATTTTCATGCAGCATAGCCCCAGTATTCCATTATAGGTCTTGTTTCTAGTTAAGCATAGTGAGTTTTTATTTCTGTTAGATTCAACTCTAGTGAAAAGGTTCCTTGCAAGGATCTGAGAAACTTAACTGTGAGGAAAAATTACAAAATCCTCTGAATTTACACAAAGATTGCGGAGATCACCTAGGACACTTCAGTCTAATAACTCTGTGATGATTATGTTTTCTTTGCTTATTAAGCACTTCATATTCACTATATAATAGAGTTTTCACTTTGAGATCTGCAAATAAACTTATTTACATGTTAAACATTTCACCCTTCCAGGATGACAATCACTGGAAGACTAGGTAGCTATTATTGTGTTTTGACCCACAGATGAGAACATTTCTTTAAGCTGAGAAGGCAGTTGCAAATCACTTTCTTCTTTTTTTTTCTCTAGACTCAGGTGAGCAGATTTGCATTATTGTTGCACTCTTGGATATTTTAATTTTCAAACCAATGCACTTGAAAGTTTAAATAACCTTTTTTGTCATAGTGGGAATTGACTTAGATTGTGGGGTGACTTATAATTTAAGTAAAGTTCAAATCACACTGGCAGGCAAGTCTGTTTAAGCGTAACCATCTGTGACAAAAAAATAAAGCTTGGCAGTCACTGCCACCTAAGGTAGCAAACATGGTACAAAATATCACCTTAATCTGGTCCTCTTTTTTTTTTTGCCTCGTCTCCAAAGTGTAAAAAGTTGCCACATAAGAATATAGGTCACTTATGCAGGTGTTTTAAAAGGTATCCTTAATCTTTTAACACATCATTTACACAGAATTGCTCCTGAAGTAAATCTTTCTATACCTAATTAGTGGACAAATTCCCACTCCTGCTGGCACCTGATCCAGATCTCTCAGATATCACCACAGAGACTCTGACTGAGTGTACAAGCTGAAGCAATCAATTATTTAGCAGCTAAGTTGTTAATACAGGTCCTTAATGGAAAGACCCATCATTGGCCCTATCAGTCTGTACCACAGGTACATATGTACAATGTTGCTGAGTGTTGTCGTGGAGGTCTGAGTAAAAGGGCTCTGCTAAAGCTTTGTGTGAAATGTAGCTCAGCCAAAAGAAGATACTGGAATTTCAAGACCCAGACAAATGGCACAGTGTGGTCCTGGGTTTTCTGGGTGTTCAGCATATGCCAGATATGTTCAGGTCTAACACAGCTCTTACAGAGCTTTGAGTAAGTCTTTAGGAAGACTTGCTTACAGTCCTCTTTATTTTGATAAATTACAAGTGTTGGCGTGCTGTTCCCTGAGTGATGTATGAACAGACTTGATTTTTATCTTGATCTGGTTGTCGGTTTTTTTATCAGGATTAAGTTTACTGCTGTTTAGATGCACATTTTCTTGCATCCTTTGTAGCTGTGGAGTCCAGGAATAAATTTTTCAGTGTTTAACCTTGACCTTCTTTCTGTCTTTTCAAGTTAATGGTGTTTGGCCAGTGCTCTTTCCCTGCCCGCTGCTGTAATCTACCTGCTTGCTGTGGGGTGAGCTGCAGATTGTACCTGTCATATACACAGCTGGATTTCATAAATGATTCACACCTATTTTCAAACAAGTGCACTTTTCATAAAATTCCTTGTAGTAGGCGTTTTATAAACTCAGCAAGCCCAATGAGTCCAACAATATAAATCAGAAAAGACCAAGGCTCTGAGGGTTTTTTTTTTTTATTATGACCTTGTCTGTCCTTAAACCTTGATTTCAATCACAAAACCTGCCTTTCCAGCTCAAACTTCTGAAACTGGATCACAAACTCATGGCTTTCTTTTTTCTTGTCTCATGTTTTCCCAGTGGATTTACTGTCACAAGTAATCCTTGCTCTGTGCCTTTATTTTTGTATCCCACTGAGCTTGACTAAGAGCTCTTTTAAGGAATTCTTTTGCTTGAGGTATATAAATTCAAATATTTGGATTCTATCTAGCAGTGTTAGAATTTCTCCTACTTCTTTTTCTAATTGTGATAAGTGCTTATTTATAATAACTGCTTCAGAATAATAAAGTCATTGTTCCTGCTAGGCAGTTTTCCAATCAGGGTTGTAAAAACTTGTAGAGTTGCTACCACTTTTTGGATAAATTCAGAACATATCCAAGTATTTGTGTGAATTTTGTAAACATTTAAGCTGAAAACAGATATCTAAAGCCAACTGCTGAACCCAGTAGAAAGCAGCACACATAAAACTTAAATGTACACTTGGTGGGAGGAGCAATATCAAAGTGTGGGTGACATTTAGGAAAATGCTGAGCACAAACTTATTGGGATTACAAGGTACATTAAAGACTGCTGGCTTGAAGAAAGTGAATGTTCAAGAGTTGTGGTATTAACATAGTGAAATCTTTAGCTCCTGCCCTGAGGAGTTGCTTTTCATTGCTTGAAGTCTCAAGGTGTCTGCCTGTTAAATAGTGTCAAAAAAATGAGTCGCTGCAGGTTTGCTGCTTTGAATTGGAAAGCTCTCTGGATCAGAAAGGATTGCAGGAACCTAAGCCTTTCAGTTTCTTCAGCAAGTTAGCAGATGTCTTCTAGGTGACCTCTGAAAGCCACTTGTAATTCTTCAGCAGGCTGGAGCCCTGCTGCGATGCCACCGCCACGTTGTGATCTGAGTCTCCTGGAACAATAATCATCCAGAGCCACCCTCACTGCAGATGCTAGGTAAATATTATAACACTTTTTGAGAGACCAAAAAGTCATTCTGGCCAAAAATAAACTACAATTCTCCTGTTCTAAATATGTGGAATAGTGACAATATTCACTTTTCCCATCATTTTTGGAGTTGTATGAGTTTTTAGCGTAGTATTCATTTCATTTGCATGTTCCTTCTTTGTTCAATCTATTTTTAAATATTAAGTCCATTATCCTGGTTCTCAGTCATAGTTAATGGACTTTTCTGTGATTTGTTCTATTTTAAGTATCTATTGCCAGTTCTCTTTTTTTATGTATCATATTTGATTTTCCCTTTTTTACTTAATTTTACTATGAAATCAGAATCTCTTCAGATTTTATAATATGCTGCTACATTCTTATATTTTTTACAGATTGAGAAAGAGATACTAAAAGGAAATTAGGTCTAATCAACTCCATATATTTCCTCCCTCACCCAAGAGTTTAGAGCTTTGTTCAGTTGGTCTTTACCTGATCCTTTTTTTCCTCCAGCAATATATGTTATTTCAAAATCTTTTTATTTAGTGGGGAGAGGCAGCTGTAAGGCAAAAATTTCAAACCAACTGATTCTTGATTGCCTTTAATTCGTAAATTGTTTTTGTAACTTGCTCAGTAGTGGAAATGTCACAAACAGTCATGTTTGTTGTTCATGTCAGATAAATCCAGTCTGCTCTCCACGTTCTTCAGCTCCTCCACAAAACATGTCAATTCAGAAGAGTCTCTTGCTGAATTCTGTCATTTCTGTTCAACAGCCCAAACCCTGAGGTTTGAGTTACAGGCTTTTATATCTCTTTTTCTTCATTCAGTGATTCCATAAGAATCAAAGATGAAAAAGGGGTGGCTCATGCTATAAATATGCAATTTTTAACTCTTGTTTTTTCGCATCCATAGACATTGCCATCTTTACCCATTCTTGTCTCTTTCAGGACTGGCATCCTTTAAGTTATGTTCCTTCCATGCCTGATGTTCCTGCTGGCTTGGGATCCAAGTCTGCACTTCAGACTGTGTTTGTTAAGAAAATTCCTTCACACAGACAAGCAGCAAGCAAACACTCTATATGCAGGACCAAGATGCTCACAGTTGTGTCTACCTTTCAAGGAGTCTGACTCCACATTCCCTACCCACTGATGTAAATGTTTTCTTTTTAGCATAACTTAAGTTGTTTAATTACAGCATGAAAACATTAGGCATATGTTCAATTTCCAGTTATTATCAGTGTCATTTTCTTGTTTGGTTTATGTGCCACAAAGGTTCTTTTTTTAAAAAATGTCATTTTGTTTTGACATTCCAGGTTCTGCATATTTTGAGCTGTGCTGTTGCCAGTGCTCTGTGGGTGTTTGGTCTCTGGGAACCCTCTGAACTAAATAAATGCCTCATCACTGATATTTTATATCTGGCATGTTCTTGAGCACTTCATTGCTTCACGTCCAATATTTTGTTCTGCCTACCTTCAGACTCAGAAAGAGTCATTCTAACTATAAGAATCATTCAATTAGCATGAAACATTTATGCTGTTTATACTCCTGTTGTGCTATGCTGCCACATTCCTTTGTGCTTTTCTTCTTGTGCTAAACACTAGTTATTGATTAAAAACTTTTGCTGCAACATCTTTCACTTATTTCTCCCTTGTCAATGTGGTCTCAAGGTGTAGGAAATACTTATCTGATCTCCTGTTGTCTTAAAGGTTTCTGCAATAACCCAGAACTTCTGGCTCTGAGCCACTCTGTGATCCCATAAGGCATAGACTATAGATAGATAGATAGATAGATAGATAGATAGATAGATAGATAGATACATACATACATACATACATACATACATACATACATACATACATACATACATACATACATAATAGATATCTAAAACCATCATTCATTGAAATTGCATATTTGACTCATGCTTACTGTCCTGAGATTAAAGAGATTAATCTTTTCCTAAAAGCATAGCTACACATATTTTTTCAAAGTGTTTTTTTTTAACCTCCCTGCTATTCCTCCAGCTCAAAGTGAACTTGTCCTTGAATAAACAGAGTATCTGTTGCTTCATCAAAAACACCAGAGTAACAGCATCCTTCTGAAGTAACAAACCTTGACTTCTGTGCTAGTCAATCACCACAAGAAAAGGCAGAAATGAACTCTTTAAAATGGGTTGCTGCTTCAAACAGAGCAAGTTGATTGACTTCCATGACTTTAGTATGCATCTGATACGACATGATCTTGAGCAGGAGTGCCAGTGTCAAATCTGTTCCAGGGTCTACACAGACCCTCAGTTGCTCCAGTTCATTACACTGGGTAATTATACAATTCATTAATTCAATTATATAATTCATGACAAGGGTAATTATACCCCTTCCAATCATTTCTTATTGCCTCAGTAGGTGGAGCTGTAACACATTTAGAGTGCCCACCAGTATGTGCCCTTGCTGGTTCACTGAGAAGCACAGCATCCACCTCCCAGCATTGCACATATTCATCCCTTTTATACAAGCTGGCATTTTGCTTCATATATGAAATTGCACATAAAAAGGAAATACAAGTTCTGCGCTCATTCTGTTGGCTGGGAAAAGCAATCAGTCTCTGTTTTTAATATGCAGTCATCAGCTCTTTGATGGCTGTTTTCTGCTGTTCAAAAGAACATAAAACATGTCTAGGTTTTTGATATTTTGGGTTTTGGGGAAAAATAATCTCTAGCACAGTACATTTCTTATTTTGCCAGTTGCTGGTTTGAAACAGACTCTTTGGAGCAGTTGAGAATTCATGAAATCATCCCATTAATTTTTTTTCAATACTAGAATCATATCAAATCCACTGACAATTGTTAGTTTTCATGTTCTCAAGCAGTTTATGTTTTATATTACCAATGCAAGCTCTTTAAATAATAGGACACTATTGTATAAATGGACATTTCTGATAATTTTTGCAAAATTGCTCTTAAACTTCAGTGCTACTGAAAAAAAGAAGAGCCTGGCAATGAGTCTAATTCACTCTTCAAATGTTACAGCATCATTTGAACATTGTCACATCATCTCAAATCATTCTTAATTCTAAAAATCATTTTCCATTTCAATTTTCTCTGGAAAGCTTTCTGCAAAAGCAATGAGAGTATCCAAATTAATTTTAAAGATCACAAAATTGCTACTTCCTTTTAGAGGAAGAGCTGTCTTATACAGCTCTCCTGTATGCAAAATTATCTTAATGGTATCTTCTTTCATCTTAGTATTCTCCCTTGAGCAGTTTGAGTGCTTTCTAGTTCTCTTTGGTTGCAGCTCAGTATTTCAAGCAGGCATCAGAAACATTACAGATTTTGGCTTCTGAGTTCCAAGAGCGTCTCTGATGGGGGCTGGGTGTTCACATTTTTTTTCAGTGCACTGTATAACCCAGCAGCTCCTACTGATGCTGTTGAGGCAGGACAGGAATGAAGAGACTCTGAGTCAGAAGGTGAGAGTGAAACTCTGATTTATTTCAAAATACATTGCTCTTTTATACAGAGCTTCATGCAGACCAACTCTGTTGGTATTGAAGTGAAAACGTCTCGTCCATTGGTGTGCAGTGAATGACGTACAGCAGCAAAACCTAACTATAAACAATGTGAACAACAAGAGTGATAAAGAACCTTACTTACATTCTTCTCAAGAGTTGCTCAGGCTTCTGCCTGGTTAGAAACTTTCTGTTTCACTCTTTGACTGAATCTGAGACCGACATTCCTACAATTTTTCTCTACATTTTATTTTTCTAGGAGTTTCTAAGGTCCATGAGTTTTTCTGCTCTGTTTTTCTTTGCTGCCCTGCCCAGACACGTCCCCATCCCTCGATGCAGGGCAGGGCTGCTGCAGTGGGTGTCTCCAGCCTTGGCCTTCATCCTTGTCCCTCTCTTGGGCACATTGTGCTTCCCAGGGGCAGGAGGGATTTAATGGGGTCAGAGGGATGGAGAAAGGATGATTCATTTGCAGATTTAGTGTCTCTCTTAGCTAGCCTGTGTTGCCTGCTCTGGGGTTTATACGCCCAGCAGCTTGTACATTGACATATCTCTTGATTAAGTTATGCATCCCCTAGAAACCTCTAGTATAAACAAGGACTAGAAGAGAACCAATCTTTTATAAAATACCTGCTTTTTCTTGTTAGCTCTTGTACAAGCTTTTTTGTGATCTCTAACAGCAATTGTACATTCATTTTCAGCTTGAAACGTAGCTGTCCCATTTGGAAAACATAATTATCCACCCTGGTGTTATCCAAGACACTTTATTTGTCTAATCAGCTGAGTTGTCAAGTTGAGTTAGCAAATCCATTTGTATGAATCACGGAGAAGCTTTCAGCACTGGTGTATCTGTTTATGATATTTATTAGGTACGTGTGCTGGATAGTCTGGATGCAGAAATTACAATTCTTTTGCCACAGTCCTATGCAGTTCGCCATACACAAATACTTCTGAAAATCCATGTGAAAATAATACTGCAGAGATGAGAAAAAACTTGTGGATTTTGCATCAGAGTTGGGTGGCAGACCACATTTTGAGGAACTTGCTTAACATTATAGCTAGCAGGTGCTGTGCATTGTAGGGCCATGTGTTATTGCTTTGTGACAAGGTAAATTGGTCAAAACTGTGGTAATCCATTACACAGGCCTTAATGTATTAAGAAACATTGTTTGTGCTTGAAACTGTCTTGAGGGGTCTGTAAAATCCACCCTGTGAAGAAAAGACTATAACGACTATAAAGACTGTAAAAGACTACAAAGATTTGCTGTACTCCTTCATAACTTCACCTCAGTCATCAATAAAAAGGCTGCAGTAAATGAAGTTAAGGGGCAGAAATGGAGCTGAAGATTGATATGCAGTACCAACCTGCTGGCACTGTTTTGTTGCATTGTGTGCACTCTCACATTGCTTTTTGTACGTGCTTGTGGTTTGCAAAGGTGGGCTAATTAACATTAAAACAGTAACATTTTCTTGTGAATCTTCACAGATTCTTCATAGATCTCTATATTTCTAGACTGTTTACAGAAAGCATCAACAGTGATAAGTGATCATTATTTAAGGATAACTTCTTTTAGAGAAGAATCTTGCTTATCAAGTGAGACTGCAGTGATTGTTCTTGGAACTAGTAAGTGCAAAAGGAGGAGAGAAAGGTCCAGTGTAAAGTATAAACAGGAAAATGAAAATTTACAACAGATATCAGTTTGTTAATGGATAGAGTTCTTCTGTATATTTTCACTTAAAAAAAATAAAAGCAAACTTTTCACTTTAATCAACTGATTTCTCCATGGCAATGGACCTGAATTTTAATAGCAGCAATGAACAACTGCTTTTGCTGTGGAAGCACATTTCTTTTCCTTTCCTTTTCCCCATCACTTTTCTCAGCCTTAAAAAAAAAATAAAAATAAAAACCCAAAAAAGCAAAACCATAAGAAAACACAAAACTACCTTTCTTTGATATATGTATATCTATGTATACATATGCACATGTGTATGAATTACAAATAAAAAGCATGTTATTACTTCATAATTATGGTAAAGAAATGAATTCCATGTTTCTTAGAAGAAAGAAACCTGGACCCCAATCAGATTCCCACCCTTCAGATAATCAATACTCAGTCCATCGAGTGTCACAGACCCCCTCAAAAAACACAGCTGCCACACCCTGTGCTTCCATGTCACACATGGCACCTCCTGGAGAAAAAAGTTTTCCATGGGGACCCTCTCCTTTCCAATGCTCATGCATGGTGCTCTCACCACCAATGCATGGATGGACAGACTGCTTTTAGGATTTTTCCTTTCAAGGATGCTCTGCCAAGAGGGGAAAAAAAACAGTTCAGTTTTTCATTTTTTGGGACCACAGTCCCCCCCATTTTCTTCCTCCCCTGGGGCAAAGGGTCTCACAAACAGAGATCTTCTTCTCTTCTAATTCTCTGAAGACAAGGGGCACCACCACAAACCTCCCCAGCTTTTCTCTGTTTGCTCCACTCCTGTCTTTTCCCAGCTGCTGAAGCAGGTCTCACCGGCATCCTCCTAAAATACAGTCTCTCTTGGAGGAGAAAATCGGTCTAGTCTGTGGCTAACAAGAAAAAGTCCAGCCAAAGGCACACAGCACCAGGCACCCTGAAGGAACAGAAGCCTCCAGGCAGTTCAGCCCACGCTCCTGGTGGCTGTGCATGCCGGGAGGTGAACAAGCACTCAGCATCTCACAGATGCGAAACTAATGACTTTTAAATCTAATATGGCCAAGTTTTCATGCCAGTAATCAAATGCATGTTCCCATTTCCTGTAAAGATGTGCTTTATAATGCTCACAGCTACACTTTAACTGACTACATGGTGCAGGCTGTGGCTGTAAAAGAAGATGAGTGCCAATTAAAGCTTTGGGAAGCAGCTCTTTTGCACGAACCCA